AAGTATATTTTTCAACAACACATAAGGTGACTATACACATGGACTTCTCCAAACGGAATATACAGCAATCAACTGACTCTCTCTGTGGAAGGACACAATGGAAAAGCTCAATGTCAGCAGCTAAAACCAGACCAGGGACCAATTGTGGAACAGACCATCAATTGCTCATATGTAAGTTCAAGATAAAGCTGAAGGAAATGAAAACAAGTGCACAGGAGCCAAAAGACGACCAAATGAGTCAATCCCACATGAATTTTGAGAACATCTCAAAAACAGATTTGATGCATTGAACACTAATGACAGAAGACTTGATACGCTGTGGGAGGACATAAAAAACAATTCATGAAGAAATTAAAAGTTCACTAAAAAGACAGAAAAGGGGAAAAAAGATCAAAATGGATGTCAGAAGAGAATCTCAAAATTGCTACTAATCATCGAGTAGTTAAAGCAAATGGAAGAAAGGAGGAAGTCAAGGAGCTGAATATAAAATTTCGAAGGGAAGCTGGAGAAGAAGAAGCAAAAATCTTAATAAAATGTGAAAATATCTAGAATTAGAAAACCAAAGGGAAAGACAGGCTCAGCATATATTAAACTGAAAGAACTAAAAAAAAATTCAAGCTTAAAATTGCAATTTTGAAAGATTCTATGTGAAAAAATATTGAATGATGCAGGAAGCATCAAGAGAAAATGGAAAAACATACACAGAGTCACTGTACCAAAAAGAACAAATCGACAATCCACCATTTCAGGAGGTAGCTTATTTTATGCACTGGAAGCACTCACTTGTCTATGCCAAGAGATGTGGGAGACAGCTACCTGACCACCGGACTGGAAAAGATTCCTAGTTGTGCCCATTCCAAAGAAAGGTGACCCAACAGAATACTCAAACTATAGAATGATATATTGATATTACACACAAATAAAATGTTGCTTAAGATCATCCAACAACATTTGTAGCAGTACATTGACAAGAAAGTGCCAGAAGTTCAGGTCTGATTCCAAAGGACGGGGAACAAGGGATATCATTGCTGATGTCAGACGGATCTTGGCTGACAGCAAAGACCACTAGAAAGATGTTTACTTGTGTTTCATTGACTATGTATTCAACGATATGGGCCATAATAAACTGGATGACCTTGAGAACAATGCAAAGTCCAGAACATTTCATTGTGCTCATTTTGAACTTGTACATGGATCAAAAGGCTGTTGTGCAAACAGAACAAGGAAAAACTGCATGGTTTAAAATCAGGAAAGTTGTGAGTCAGGGTTGTCTTCTCTCACCGTACTTGTTCAATTGGTATGTTGAGCAAATCACCAGAAAAGCTCGATTATATGAAGAAGAGTGCGGCATCAGGATTGGAGGAAGGCTTATTAACAACTGGCCATATGCAGATGACACTGCCTTGCTTGCTGAAAGTGAGGCAGGCTTGAAACCCTTGATGAAGATCAAGCATTGCAGCCTTCAGTATGGATTGCCACTCAATGTAAGAAGACCAAAATCTTCCCAACTGGACCAATAAGTAACATCATGATAAACCAAGAAAAGATTGAAGTTGCAAGGATTTTGTCTTGCAGGGAGCCACAATCCATGCTCATGAAAGTCACAGTCGAGATCAAAAGTTGTATTGCATCAGGTAAAGCTGCTGCACAAGACATCTTTAGAGTATTAAAGAGCAGGGGTGTTACTTTGAGGACTAAAGTATGCCTGACCCAAGCCATGATATTCTCCATTACATCAGATGCGTGTGAGACAGACTAGCGCTAGCCATGTAACCATCTTGTTGACTGCTGAATGACCCCCTCCCTCCTCCTCCCATCTTGGAAAGTCCACTAGTGATTGATTTTAGAATCTACTCTTATGTTCTCGAGATCAGAACATTGCAATTAATAACATGATTCCTTTTGATGTTGTAACCAGGATACTACTATTTTTATTTTATTAACCAGGATGTTCTAATCAATGCTGTAACTCTAAAGAAGAATAACATGAATTTTGCTTTCTGCTTCTGTCCATGCCTGCTTAAGTCCTAGACAAATGATAAATGAGTTTTTGCCTGCCTTTAAAGATGGACTGGAATGTCCACTCAGGACTACAATCAAGCAGTTGTTTTTAGATTCTTGCAGTCTGGTTAAAACCAAATAAAAGACTCTTCTAAATTTCAAGCCATTATAGTGGCTGTCATTTATTGGAACCTGCCACACATGTGGAAGTTGGACATTGACTACAGAGGACTGTAGAATAATTGAACATTTGCATTGTGATACTCGAGAAGATTACTGAAAGTACCCTGGAACAAACAATTATATCGATGCAAAAGAGTGGAGACCCAAAGCCCATCTGTAGATAATTGGTTATATCTAATTAATTGGATATATATACCGCAGAAGTGAGATAAGGAAAGGTTGATACAACTGATGCGTAGTATAGCACCGAAGAATCACACATCATTTCTCTAGTTCCTAAATACTTCCTTGCCCCCACTACCATGAAACAGTTCTAACTTCACAAATTTGGCTAGGCTGGAGAACACACAAAGGTACAAATAAGAGATCTTGACACATGGAATTCAGGAAAGATAAACCCTTCAATAACAGTAATGGAAGTAGCAATATCATGAGGGTAGGGGGATGATCAGGGAGGGGGAAGGGGGAGAAAGGGGGAACCCATCACAGAATTGGATATATAGCACACTACATCCCCACGGAAGGGTCTGAATTACAGAAATGTGGGTAAAGGATGACAATGGACAGTGTGAGAAACGAAATAACAGTATATAATTGATCAGGGATACACCTGGGTGGGAGGGTGGGGGAGCCAGGGGCAAAAAGAGGAGCTTATATCAAGAGCTCAAGTAGAAAATGTTCTGGAAATGATGATGGCAACATATGTACACATAAGCTTGCTACAATTGGTGTATGGAATATAAGAGCTGTAAGAGCCCCCAATAAAATGATTTTAAGAAAAAGAAAAAAGAAAGTACCATGGACTGCTAAAAGGACAAACCAATCCGTACTGGAAGAAATATGGCCAGAGGGCTCCTTGGAGGCAAAGACAGCAAGGCTTCATCTGACATACTTTGGACACATTGTCAGGAGAGACCCGTCCCTTGAGAGGATGGCGCAGGACTGTGGAGTATTTTGAGTGCCTGGTGCAGTCGCAGGTTGGCCACGTGTGCCCTGAGGTGTCTAGAATCACATTGGAGACTGCTTCCTGTTGCCATGAGGAGCCACGCTGGGTCCTGGTCTCTGGGCTATGCAGGGGGCCACACTGGACGTTTGTCACGAGCTCTATGGAGGTTCATTTCTGAGCCTGGTCTCTGACGCCATGGGAGCTGGGAAGGTCCCTGGTCACTGGCACTCAGAGTTCCATTTCTGAGCTTGATTGGTGGCCCCATGAAGCGCTGAGCAGATTTGCTTCCAGGCCTGGTCTCTGATGCTACTTGAGGCCATGGCCAAGTCTGGTCACTGGTACTGCAGAGGTCTGTATGTGGGCCTGGTCGCTGGCTGGAGAGGTACACTTCCTGGCCTGGTCACTGGTGGCACAGGGAGTCAAACCCTGGCCTGGCTGCTGATGCTACAGATGTTCTTTTGTTTTTGAGCAAGCATCATCAGAGGGAATTAAGCAGAAAAATATTTCCTAAGCCGGAATTTGGGAAAACTGGAAAAACCTCACCGCCATCTAGTAGATTCAGGCACATCCTGATGCTATTGAACTGTTTGGGTTTCTGAAGCTAACAATATTCTGGGGGGAGAAAGCTTCATCTTCCTCCTATGGAGCAACTGGTAGATTCAAATTGCTGATCTTACAGTTAGCTGCCCAAAACATAACCTCCTACGACGGCTCCTGGAATTTTGGAAAAGCACACAGTTTCCTGGTTTTCTTATAGCATGATATTTCTCAGTACTCACTTGAATCTATTTCTCAGAAATCATAGCCAGGTGCACATGTCACAATGAGAAAACCTTTGGAAACCAGCTATTCCTGAACCCAAAGACAGTAACAGTAGGAGCCGAGAGAAAATGCCGGTCCCTTCCTTTCACTGCAAAGGTAAGTTGGAGAAAGTTTCAAAGGCTAACAATCCAGCCTAGGAGATGTGACTGTTCTCACAGAGAAATCCCATGGGTCTTTGAATTTGTTGCTGATGTTCCATAATAAATAAGAAAGTGAATATCTAGCCTTTTGAGAAAGAAAGATGTGGGGGTAACCAGCCCCTCACAACTATCATGGGTTTGGTAGGCACAACTGTACAGTTATGATATACAAAGATTATAGCAAAGTTGCAGAAATAGGAGAGAGAGTAAAATAAAGAAATCAGACACATTTCATGGTAGCATGCTCACCTCAGCTCCTTTTGGTGGTACACATGGAGGTGGGAGATGAGAGGGCAGGAGAGAGCTCTGTGATTTATTTCTAACCAAAGCTTATATATCTTTGGGAGCATGTAAGCCTCCTGATTACAGATAACGACCTTCATCATAGGAAGGGGCTGGAACATAGGCAATACAAGCAATAGGACGGGGATGACCTAGGGGTATACACCCAATAGTAAAAGGAGGGAATCAGGGTACATATGAGGCAAGATGGGAAGACCCTAGACTGAATATAGTAACTTAACCTTGGTCATCCTTGAGTGGTCCCGACTTGGCCTTTGGGCTCTCTTTCAAGGGAACAATCACTATCCTTACCAGAAGGGCATGGACCCTACTTAGGGTGGGTCAGACTATACAGTCTAATTGCTCTAAATGGCTGATAACCCTTAGAGAGAATAACCTCTGACCTACTTTCGTTGACCTCCTAGTGTTCAGTCATTTACCATGTGTAGCAAGCAGCGTCTTGGGTTTGGCGTATATTTGGGGGTGCCAACTTGGGAGAAATCTTCTTGTATCCCGCAGAAAGATTTTGCACATGGCTCCATTTCCAGCTTCTAACTTTTTTCATTTTCTTTCAAGAAGGATAAAGCTGTCATCTTAACAGTATCGATTAACCATTATTTGCAGGCTCATGGTAAACAAGCGAAGGCTTTATTTTTATCTTTCATTAAAAAAAAATCAGGGCACTGAAAATAAACTGAGACGTCAGATCTCTGGGTTTGACCAACACTAAGCAAAGTAGCCCCACAGAAAGATGGCGCCACTAATGCAGAGAATGAGATTGATGTCCAGGGCGGTTTTCACGAAGGGGGGTTCCTCCACGGAAGCCAAGGCAGGTTCCACTTGGCTCGCAGGCTCTTCCTTGTCCTGGCTCTCTAATCCACAGAGCCACAAGGTGGCTTTCATCACTTTAGACTTCTTGGGGGTCCCATCGCCTAAAAAGAACCAAGCAAACTCTTAGCGAGGGGCCATTTCTCCCTGAGAGGGTGGAGGGAACTAATTGGGTGTGTGTTCTGTGCGTTGTGATAATTATTTTATATACCTTTCTTGCCTAATTCTGCAAGACAAGTATTTTGAGATTGTTCACCATTTTCTTTTTTTTTTTTT